CTTTCTCTGATTATATGATTTGAGCTCATCTTTATAACTCTCAGTGCATAGTTCATACAGGCCTTTTCAAATCTAATAGCAGAAGAGGGAATTGAAGCTTCAATTTCCATTGCTTTAATAGAAGATGATTTGAATGCTTCTAGAATTCTTCTCAAGACTCTGTTTTGCAGACTTTGAAAGAGTTCAGTGAAGTTCTCTTGATTATTCCATCAAACTTGAACTTCATAATCAGCTACTGATGTAATACAGGCTATATATAATTGTCTCATAGCCTGGAAGAATAGATCTCTCTCTGTATTTGATAGTCTGATTATGTTGTTCAATAGCCTTTCTGCCTTGACAGTTCTTTGTTAAATGTGGTATTTAAAATTCAACTTGGAGTTTAACCATACTCCCAATCATTTGACATTTACACTAGGTTTAATCTCTCTATTTAAAAGAGTTAGAGATAGTTGTTTCTCATTGAATCTAGGAAAGAAATGAATTAACTCAGTTTTATTCATATCAAATTGAATTTGATTGATATCTGCTCTAATAAAGATTTCCTTTGCAGCTTCTTCAATCACTTTCAAATTCTCTTTGATAGTTTTTAAGCTGTAGACTAGATCAACATCATTCACATAACTCGGAGATCGCACTATTCTCATATTTCTATTTTTGAATAGATATGCAGTGTATATTGCAAATAAAATAGATGAGATTGGAGATTCTTGTGATACTCCTATTTTTATCTCAGTCTTATCTTGTTTCATTTCATCAAAGAAAAGTTGTATGATTCTTTTAGACATAAAACAGTTAACTCATTTTATTAGAGAAAGTGGCTTATCTTTTGTAAAGTGAATATAAAGGTTACTTGAGTAATCACTTTCATCTTATTCTCATCTCAAGAATCAGTCATCTCATTATTCTTCATCTTGATATTAAGATTCTTTATCAGTGTTTATATCACAAGTTGAATCACATGAGCAATGCAGAGAATATGACCTTGTTTATCATTTTAGAAATGCAAAGCCAATTCTTACTTCAAGCTCTTTATTATAGTGTAGTTATTCACAGCATTATCAGTTATAATTATAAGAAGACTGAGACTAATATCTCAATAGTTATTTTTAATCACAGTTATTAATATCTCTATTATATAATCTTCAGTATAACTACTGATCAATGATTCAAATTCAATTAATATCTCTTAATAAGTTCAGTTCTCATCAATGTAATAACATGTCACTTTCATAAATACAAGATTATTTATACTAGTTCATGCATTCACTGTGAGAGACACTCTTCAATGATTCTTCAACTCTGATTCTAGATATTGCATATTGACTTTGTAGTGTATCTTAAGGTTGAACTGAAGACAGAATTGATATGAAATATGAAGATTTGAATTAAGCATTTGAAGAAGTGTTCAGAATTTGAGGTTTTCAATTGATTGAAGAGAAAGATTCAGAGATATATATATATAAAGTAATTGTTCACAGAAGTTATCAGATGAGAGTTATGAAATCAGAGTACTGATACAGAGTCATTTTCACATGATTTTCTTCAAATTAGAAAGTTAGTATTATCAAAAATTATTATCTAGTAGAGTAACTTATCAGCTCAGTAGTAATTTTCTGATTATTTTTCTTTTGTTGTCTGCATTCTGATAACTTCAGATGTCAGAAAATTTCTTCAGAGTTATAATCAGTCTATGATGAATATTTCTGAATGAAGTTACAGTGATTATAGCAGAGAGATGATTCTTCAGTAATCTGCAATGCAATCTGTTCATAATTATTTCATAGTTCATCTCAGTGTTTGTGTTAAGTTTTTTATAAATTTTATAATCTGGAATCAGATGTGAAGAATGAAGTAATTATTCATTATAATTAAAAGAGAGTATTCTGTATTAAATTGTAAACAATATAGACTTTATGATTCATAGTGATTTCTTAAAGAGTTTGTGAATCTTCAATAGAAGTAAAAGAAGTGAAAGAAGTGAATTCAGAAGATATGATAATAATTTGAGAAAGATAATAATTTATTTTCAATAACTGATCACTGATGTATGTAAGAAGAATTAATATAAGAGAAAATAATCTTGTTTCTTAACTTAGTTATAATTTTAGTACTAACTCAGATTGAATATCATTGATATATAAAAGTAAATAAACAATCTTGATTAATCTCTGTCATATTTCTTGAAATATATTAATATTATGAAAGAGAGTGTTATTAAATTATGTTATCAGATGATATTATTAAAAATATATTAATATTATAAATATCAATGTTGAAAAAATGTTGATACTTATACATTATAGTGATTTGTGAATCATGATAGTTAAATATATATATATATATATATATTATTTCTGACTTGATTACAACTTGTACAACAATTTTTAAAAACTTAAAATTAATTTTAATTATTAATAATTATGAACTTACAACTAACTAATATAAAAAGAAAAAAACTTTTTCTACTCATTATCTTTCTTCTCTTTCTCATTCTTCTTATCATTCTTCATAATTCATTTCTTATTCTTCTTCTTCTTCTTCTTCTTCTCATCTGAGATAATAACTATCTCAAAATCTCTCTCTACTGCCTTCTCAGAGAAGGGTTTTCACTGCTCTCTCTCAGTCAGGTTAATCTGTATCTTAAAATCCTGCATTTTCTGATCTGCTGTCTCAGGTTTCATCTCAGCAGTAAGCAGATTGACATGCTCAGAGAGCAGAGCTATCTTCTCAATATTCTGAATCATGAAGCACATTCAAGACCTGAACAAGGCCTTAATTCTCTTCTTCTCTATCAGCTTCTGCTAATCAATTAGAGAACAGAAGTATTATCAAAAATTATTATCTCTTAATAAATAAAAAACTTATCAGTTTTGACTTCTTTATCTCTCACTTTAACATTCTCTCAATCTTCTTCTGCTACTACTTATTTACAGTAATACTCTTCTTCTCTCTCTCTCTCTTTATCTTGATCTCAAATCATTCTCAGAACTTCTTCTGATCTCACTGCTACTGTATAAGACTCTTCACTGTCTTCTTCTTTAATCTCTCACAGACAGTATCATCTGTATTATTTCTATACTTAGTTCAGTCTAAATCTATCAGAAGTGTTACTTAAAATTATTATTATTCTGCTTTCTTACAGAGTCTCTTTAAGATATTATAACATGTCTTACAATCTGTCTTCTCTTACTTGAATGTCTTCTTCTTCTCTCTCTTCAATCTGTGACAGCACTCATGTGCCTTGATGATCCGCAGAACTGCAGAATATTTAAAGAGAGATAACATAATTAATTTCAGTAAGTATTGAAGAGAGATGAAGGCAGAAGAGGCAGTCAGAAATGATATGATAATAATGATGATAATAATAATAATAATGATAATAATAATAATGATGATAATAATGATAATGATAGTGATGATAATAATGATGATGATAATGATAATGATAATGATGATGAAAGAAGAAGTGCATTGAAATATATTACTGACTTATCAAATATAAAGAGACTTAAAGAAAATATTAACAGCTTTCAGTGATGTACAGAAACAGCTATAGTGTTGCATAGTAATATTATCTTCATTCAATACATACACTATTAATATTCTTTGTATACAGTTATCATATAATCTATATCAGAGATACATGTAGACAACAGATCTTTATTACTAGAGTAAATAATTGCAGCAATTCTCTGTTTTCATATTATAAAGATAAGTTATTCTTATTTCTTTCTTCTCTCTTTTCTCTTCTTCAATCAATCACTAATTTCAAGCTGATATGAAAACTATTAAAACACTCTCAGAAATTCTCAAATTGAAGAGTATAGACTAATCAAATTTCAAATGCAGAAGAAATTAAATTATCTTCTACAGATTCAATTATTCATCTTCTTCTTAAATAAAACAGCAGTCATGTTCTCTCTTCCTCTCAATCAAATACAACATGGTCTGTGAAAAGCAAGTATCACATCAGACTATAATTGTAATGTGGCGGAACCGAAGCGGTGACTAGTCAGCAGCATCATGTAGAGGTAGTTGTTGAGAAGTCATATAAGTGAGCTTAACTATCTTGCTTAAATAGCAAGCTCATAGACTACAGAGTTATTGCAAGAATATCACAGATATGATACTTAGTATACTAAGAAGATTGTATAAGATACACAGTAACTCTTATATATATTTCAGTAGAAGAAAAACAAATCACTGACTTCTTTGATGAGAAGCCAGCATCTAGCTATTCTATATAGACAATGAGTGAATACTCTTCTCTTATTTCACAAGTGAGAATAGTCAGAGTGATACCTCAGCAGCATCTCATTATTAAGAAAGAGTAATCTGCTGATCTTGTATAAAAGCAGAGTTCTTATATCTATCAATCAGATCTTTCTATGATACATTTGAATAATATTATAGAGTGATTAAAAACTGGTTCAGACAGTCTGCAGAATGAATGAAATTATTCATATGAAAGTAATAAGTTATGTGAAACTGAAATAAGGTCTTGACACAGTCAGAAGTGTGACAATGCTCTTCTCTTTAAGAGCATAGTCTCTATACTCTCAAGATTACTGAATTAGAAATTATCTTTGTTATATAGTAATAGTTACTAACTGATTAACAGTGTATGTGCTGTATATGATATAAAGAAATAGATGAGTTTTTCTGCTGACTGTATAGATCTTTCTTTTTCATCTTTATTCAAATCAAACACATAATAAGTGAGTTTCTTATATATTAATTTGAAATGTGGAAAATATAGTTAATAAGTGACTTACAGATTTTTCAACATATTCTGTTCTATGTATGAAATTCTCTACAAAAGTGATGTATTTTTAAAGACAAAGTTAACAGTAGTAACAGGATTTTTTGAAAAGATTCTTTCTCTCTGTGACACATTTTTCTTCCTCTCTCTCATCTGTAATAGTGAGTGCATGAGAGCATCATTCTTGAGAGACAATAAGGGGCTTATTCTGATGTTTTCTAGTGAGTAAATGTCTTCATGGTGCGGCTGCGGCCTCTGTGACTGTCAAGAAAGCCAGGTTGAAGGCAGAGACAGCATCAATGAGCCGCGGGAGCATCACTCCCATTGCCACACCTTCTTCTACTTCTCTTGTGGCCGCGGCAGTAGTTGCCATGCCTTGCAGTGAGGTGTCATCCCTTCTGCCAGCTGGTGTGTCTGTGTCCAGTCTGTCCTCTGCCCCTCTCACTGCTGTTGTGACGCCGCCCCCCCCCTCAGTCAATACAGTGATGTATGACCCTGTGTGATTATTCAGAGAGAAACCTGGGAAGAGCTTGATTCTGAGAACAGTGACTTTGAGAAGCTCAATCCATAGTTTCTCTTCTGCATACTCAAGCCCTGCTCAGAATACTGCTGAGTTGAGTCTGCAGAGTTCTGAGATTTCTTCATCTTCTTTCTGTGAGAAGGCTCTGATGAAGTCTCTGATCAGTATCATCACTTATCTGTACTGTGCTAAGCAGCTGAAGAAAGAGAAGATTTTATATATCTATCTCTTCTCTTACTTCTGTTATTTCTGTTATACTTATAATAATAACTTCTATCTCTCTGTAAGTATTATCTCACAGAAAGATGTTATATCAGCTCTGATAAGAAGTCTAGATACTTAAGCAGTACAGAGTGAGAATCTCAGAGCTTTAAGTATTAACAGATTTCATTAAGACTGAGAAGGTTCTTCTTACTCATTTATAAAAAGAGATGAAAGTGTGAATCTCTGAGATGAAAAAACATCTCAGAATGACTGATCTTAAAAAGAGATTAGTCAGTGCTGCTGTTGAAAGCACTGCAGAGATTAATCACTGATTGAAGAGAATCTCACTTCAGTTAAAGCAGATGATTAAGATACTTTATAAGTTGATAAATTAATATTTTATACATTCTTCATACTCTTCTGCAGTGCTGCAGCACTAACTTCTCAGCAGACAAAGATGCTGATACTGAAGACTTCAATGATGAAGAATGAGTTTAATAAGAGTGTGATTATTAATAAGTAAACTCTGAGATTCTCTCTTTTTACTTTTTCAGCAGGCTGCAGTCTCATTAGAATAGCAGCAGCTTGCAGATTGATAATATTAATCTTTTTATTAATTTTAAATATTTCTTTTCTTTAATCACTTCAGAAATGTTACACTTGTGTAGTCTTATTAAACTTTTAAAAAATTCTTTAAGAGAAAATAGAAGAAGAGTGCTACTGAGTCTATAAGATATCAGCTTATTATTATAAGATCATCTCTAAAAAACTCTTTGAGAAAAATGAGAAGTCTTAAGCAGTATTTCTTACTCAATATCTCTGATGTGTAACAGAGCAGTCTCTACTAGCTGTCTTATAGCTTACAATCTCTTTCTCAGTATTTTTCAAATACTTAAGCAGTTCTCATGAATTCTCTGATGATGAATAATCTTCTCATTTAATAAGATATTAAAGCTTGCTGTAATGTGTTCACTTATTCAATATTTTCTTCATAAGATATTCAGTATCACTCTCAATCTTAATATTATTCAGCTGAGACAGCTCTACTCTGAGACATTATTTATAGAGCTTCAAATAGAAAATATGAAAAATAGAATGAATTGATTTCAATTCTATGAGTAATTTTAACTTATATATCTGCTTACTTATCACTCTTATTACTGAGAAAGATTCTAGTCATCACTCACTGAGCTTCTTACACAGTCTTATTATCTTGATATTCTTTGCTAAAAGTAGTATTTAATTCTCTATTAAGAACTTCATCAGAAGATATTTTCAATTATAGTATTTCATCTATCACTTCTAAGCATGACAGATGCTTTTCACTGTCTTCTTATGAATTTTATTCAAAAGTTTCAATCTTACTTTTACTTCTAACACTGAGAAATACTTCATTCTCTGTATCTGTCTGACATTCTGACTGCCTATTTTCTTCTTTGAAATGTTATTCACAATATCACTGAGTAATGAAGAATTATATTCATAATAAGCATAGAAAGAAGATATCTTTAAGATTACATTCTTTGCATTGTTATATATAAATTCAGTGATCAGAAGATGTTTGAGTCAATTATTCTGATAATATGAATAGAACACTTAAAGATACTGTTCTAGTATCTGATTCTGATATTCAGTCTGATCATCAGTCTGCAGATGAAATGCAGTACTGAGAAGACATCTTATTATAAGATGATAGTAAAAAGCTGATCAGTATTTGCTGATGAAGAGAGATTCTTGATCTATTATCAATGATTTCAGAGCATTCTGATTACAAATAATGATATCTAAAAACAGGTCAGTCAATTCAGAAGCTTTAATCTTTTTATAAGTAGAAATATATCTGACTATCTTTATAAAGTGATTAATAATGACTAAAATTAAGTCATATTCTTTGACTCTTGTTAACTTCAGCAGATCAACTATGAAATTTATTAATAGATTCTGTTATAAGTTCTTTAAAACAGGCAGTGATGCTAACTTACTGTATTACTTATATCATAGAATCTTTATTCTTTAACAGATATTGTAAGTCTTAATATACTCTTTGACATCTGTTCAGAGCTTGTCTTAAATATATTTATATTTTAGAAGCTTCTCAGTCTTCTCTAATCTGAAGTGCTCTGTATGAGAATTATTATAATGAATTCTCAATAACTTCTGACATACTGCTCTACTATAAGAGATGAAGACTGAATTATTTAGTAATAGAAGTTCACATTCTTCTAGTTATCAGTGACTTAATTTCTTAGCAGTATCATCTCACTCAGAGTCTGTTTCTTTCAAGTTTAAATCAGATTCTTTCTTCTTTAACTTCTGAATTCAAGCTGTAGTAGAGATATTTCTCTTCTATAACTTATTAATGAATTTCAAAAGTAGTTAGATTAAAAGATTGTAGACTGTTTCATTCTTTATCAATTCAATGATTGTAAGATATGATATGAGAAGCTTATAATCTTCAGTGTTAGTTCTCTGCAGAGATCTGAGTTTTCTTTCATCTTCTATACTGAGTTGTGCAGCTGTCTCTTCAGCACTGTTTCTGAGCTTCAGAGAATCTCAATTCTCTGCAGTCAGCTTCTTCTGCAGTGATGACAGAGATTCTTTTATAGAATTCTTCTTCACATTAACAATATTATAATCAGGTCATCTAGACAGTACATCAGCAGAGTTAAGCTGATTTGAATGATATTGAATATAGAAATTATACTCTGAAAGCAGCTCTGCTCATCTGGCTTGATGTTCTGTCAAGCTCTTTATTATCAAGAAGTAATACAGATTTACATAATCAGTGAGAACTTGTATTGAGTACTTACTACTCTGAAGATAATGTTATCAGATCTTAAAGAATTCAATAATTACTAACATCTTCTGATCATGAGTATTATATCTTCTCTGTGTAAGTGATAACTTCTTGAAGAAGAAGATCACTGATCTTCATTCACAGTGTCTTATAGACTCTGTGAAAAAGTCTTCTCTCACAGACAATTCATTATCTGTTTTCTCAGAGATGATTATTCTCTGATTCTTTCAATATTGAAAGATCTCTGATATCAACTGTGAAAAGATTTCACAGATCTCATTCTCAGATGCATCAGTCTCACACTGACTGAGTAAGTCAGAATTAAAGTGATTCAGTATTATGATATCTGTAAAAGCTTGTTTCAATTCTGCAAACACCTGTGCAGTGTCTTGAATAAGAATAAACAGTTCTGTTTTTCTGTCTTTCACACTTTTCTTTAACAGATCTGTAAGAGGAGTAGTAATCTGTGAATATATATAGATGAATTATCTGTAGAAATTTACAAATTCTAGAAATATCTGCATCTTGTGATACATCTGCAGCACTGGCCAGTTCTTAATAATGAAGACCTGGCTTCTGTTCATTGAAATGTCATTCATCTCAATAATATAACCTAAGAAATCAATCTTCTGCATGTAGAATGAGCATTTTTCAGTGTTTGTATAGAGTTGATACTGTCTCAAGTGACTCAATACTTCTCAAACATGAGTATTGTGTTCTTTCTTCATTTTTGAGAAGATTAGAATGTCATTCAAGTATACTATGCAGGAGATGTTGACAAGGCTCTGCAGTGTCTCATTTATATAGGTCTGAAAGATGACTGAAGTGTTACAAAGATCAAAAGATAAAACAAGATATTCAAAATTGTCATACTTGATATGAAAAGCTGTTTTTCAAATGTTGTCTTTATTAACTCTGATTCTATAATAGATATTCTGTATATCAATCTTTGAGAACATCTTTGCTTCAGATAATTGATTGATCATCTCATTAATCAATGATAATGAATAGTAATTCTTAACTGTTATCTTATTAAGGCCTCTGTAGTCTATGCATAGACATAGTCTATTATTCTTCTTGAATATAAAGAGTATAGATGTCTCTGCTGAACTCTTTGATGAATATATTCAGTTCTTTGATTACACTTCTTTAAGATATTTGCACAGAACATTCAATTTCTTTATAGATAAGTTATAAAGAGATCTGTACAGCACTATTGCACTGTCTTCAAGATAAATCTTGTGTTATATCTTGATATCAGGAAACTTCACTGCTTCTCTTTCTGAAAAGACATTCTTAAAATCTGTAAAGAGATATTGTGTACATCTGTCTTCAATAACAGATACTGCTGCTAATCTTGTAGTGAGAATGATGACTTCTTCATCTGTTCTCAAGTCTCAATCACCTGTTATACAGTATATTGACTCAATCTTTTTCTCAAGATTCTTCTGATGAAACTCTTCAGATTTCTCTATCACTGTCTCTTCATTATTGAGATGATACTGTCACATCTGAGTGACTCAGTCAATGAGAGAATTGTTTTCTCTCAATTACAGAAGATCTAGAATGATGTTCTCATCTATAATGTTAACTGTATAAAGAAGCAGACTGCTCTTCTTGAAGATTTCTTCTGAGTCTGTGATCACACACTTTGCTTGAATTATATCAAAACAGTGACATTTCATTTCATTAGTAAATTTTATATGATCTGACAGATCTATCTTCTTTCAATTCTTTATCAAAGAAAAGAAATAGAATATGAAGTTGATATTCACTCTGAAGTTGAGTAGGCATCTCACTGATATCTTCTCATTCAGAGTATGTATTGTGATTGTAACATGAACTTAGAGACATGAGAATTATTAATTCTTCATTTCTTTCTCTTCATTATCTTTCATGAATACATTTGTCAGAAGAGGAGTTGACTTTAAGAAGATGTTTTCTCAGTTTCTTTCCTTCTTCAGCTTCTTACAATCACTGATATAGTGTTTATCAGCTCTGCAGTTGAAACAGAGATTTTTATCAAATCTTTTTTAATATTTCTTCACAGTGAATGAAGAATCAGAATACTTAAAATTCTTCTTTACTTTCTCTGCACTGAAGTCATCACAGTACTATTTAGAT